ATATGTATATAAGAATTGAGGTCGGCTGTGATTTACATTTTGAAATTCGATTCTGTAAAATAGTTCACGTACACGATTCAATCATGTTCACACATTCCTAAAAAATACAACCCAGAATGTATGCCATAAGGAAATCACCTTTGTGCTCGCACTCTTATTTTGACGTCTTTCAATAAGTCTTCTACCTTTTAAGTGTGTCTTGCCCATCGTTTTAATAACGTTATTGTGGACTGCATGTGTCCGTTGGTCGGGAGGGCAATAAAACCGTTGGGATTAATTAATTAATTATTAGGCGTTGGCTGAAAATGTAACCGTTATTGGTAGACGAGATATACTCAACTATTTTATATACTTACAGTATTGCATATAACATACCATTTTAACAAAAAACCAACATTGATATTGTGTAAAATAAAAAATTTATAAAATATTCGCCAACTTTCTTTTTAGAAATGGTGGAAGCTATGAAAAAGGTCGCATCCCTAGATGTTGAATTAACTGTCGAAGAGCGCAACCTGCTTTCCGTCGCCTATAAGAATGTAATTGGTGCACGACGTGCTTCATGGCGTATAATAACCTCTATTGAACAAAAGGAAGAAAACAAAGGGGCCGAGGAGAAGCTTGAAATGATTAAAACCTACCGCGGGCAGGTGGAGAAAGAACTACGAGATATTTGTTCCGATATTCTGAATGTTTTAGAGAAGCATCTCATTCCATGCGCCACTACAGGCGAGAGCAAAGTATTTTATTATAAGATGAAAGGCGATTATCATCGCTATTTGGCAGAGTTTGCTACTGGTTCGGATCGCAAGGACGCGGCAGAGAATTCGCTGATTGCTTACAAAGCTGCCAGCGATATTGCAATGAACGATCTGCCGCCAACACACCCCATTCGCTTAGGTTTGGCGTTGAACTTCTCGGTAAGAATTGAAATAGGGAGGAATATTAAAATGTATGTACGTATGTGTTCCTGTAACTCGGTAATTTCTTTCCGTAGGTATTCTACTATGAAATTCTCAATTCGCCGGATCGCGCTTGCAGACTAGCGAAAGCAGCTTTCGACGATGCCATTGCTGAGCTAGATACCTTAAGCGAAGAGAGCTACAAAGATTCCACACTAATTATGCAATTGCTGAGGGATAATCTTACATTATGGACGTCTGATATGCAGGCCGATGGTTCGTAAACAGTTTTATTAACAAATTGGTAAACAAATAGACTAAAAAATTTTTGGTTTATCAGGTGATGGCGAGCAGAAACCGGAGATTCAAGATGTCGAGGATCAGGATGTGTCGTAATTTAAGTAACCCCCCATCTTACTTAATTCTAAAACTCCTCTATATACCTTTTCCTACTGTAATACAGCAGCAACAACACATACATAAAAAACGAGAAGCATTATAATACACAACAACAGCAACAATGATATACATTATATACATTTCAATTGCATAAAAAATAAAAAAATTCTCTTTCAGAAAAACACTTCTAAATCTAAAGAAAGAATTCAACAAAATTTCTCCTGCCCCGCTCCCATTCAATGTGTGAAGATTTTTTGCATTAAACATAATTATTAAAACCAGAATTATTATTAAAGAAAACAGAATAATTATTAATAATAATGGTAATGATAATATACATCAGTATAATAAAATAAACAAATACAAAAAAATAATTATTTTAAATTATAAAAGATAATACCTTACCAAGAAATCAATATACACAAACATACATTCACACTCATACAGTTAGAGTTGCAAATGCAACAATCGATGCAATATAAGGAAAAACGGTTTTCTTTATATTAGAAAATAAAAAAGGAAATATAAAAATAATAGCACCAGATATTAATTATATCGGTAAAATACAAAAGGAGCACACTAAAGTCAAAAGAAGCGCAGACGGAGGGATAATGAGAATACATATTAGAAATAGTAGAAACAAATATTGAAATGAAAACAAACGAAACCTATTAGGCAATTAACTAACCATTGATTGCTTAATTTCAACACGCACCATTTAGCTGATACTCGCTTTTGTATTGTAGTAGAACGGATAAATTGTAAAACTGAGTTCGCGTTTTTCTGAATGGTGGTGCAAAAATTTTGCCGATTTTTATATCTATATTTTTGGTCGTTGCTGAGAGATTCGAGGTTCGTTTTGAATCACATACATAAGTGAATAAGTGAGGAAATTTCTTGTATTGGTGAAATATACACTAAACGATTGATCATTTTGTATCATTCATATTTCGGTCACAGTGTTGGAAATGATTCGGTAAATGCAGCAGAATGAAGTGTATTTGTGGGCAGTTCATAAATGAAAATGTTAACATAACAAAAATGTTTTATAATTACATAAAAAAAACTTTGCCACTACTGATAACAAGTCAGAAATCCTTTGGTGTTCGCGATTTATGGCCATAAACTTCATCAACTGACACCTCAGATGTTTAAAACCGGATTTTAATCCGTCGAACTCAGTGGCCACGTCGAAGGGTCAAAACTGTAATTTTGCAAACGATCTTTTTGATGATTTTGTGAACTCAAACTAATGGCCCTATTATATATGGCAACTGGTGTCTAGTTGCTGGTCTAGTAGCCGTGGCTACCAGTATCGTAGTTTGTATTATGTATAGCACACACCACATCCGAATTTACTTTTTTTGGCAACTTTGCTCCAATACGTTTAACAAATTATGTAAACAAGTAAACAAGTAACAAGTTGCCATACGTAAGCCAATTTCTGTATATGGTTGGTCATCGGCCATGGGCGATTTAAAATCATTAATTAAAAAACCGGTAGTGGGTTAACATTCCCATACGGGTAGTAGGTACAGCTATGAAATTTCTCTTTATCTCGTTTTTTTTTACCTATGTATTCTGAGCTGTTCCTCCGAGTTGAAGCATAACGATCGTTGAATAAACGGCCCGGATTTGACCTCAAAATATCTCGTAGTAATAATTGCTGGATGTTTGCGATTACATACATACTTTACGTTCTAGTTCATAGTTTTGATTATCATATCGAATTCATCTCTGTTTCTTGCTTTCTCCATTATTTCTCTAATTGCTTTCAATCATGGCCATTCTCTCATGTTATCCCACCATGTAATTTTTCTTCCTGCTCCTCTGCGCCCCTCAAGCTTTCCTTGTATTAAAAGTCTCCCGTACACAAGAGTCGACCACACATAGCATTTAATGAATCTTACACCCCTATTGCGAGTCTCGACTAGTAGTAGATAAACGACTATTATTCGATTATCGCTTTTCCATGGTATTGTGAATGTGGATTTCCCGTGCCAAACACTAACATATGTGTAAGCGCCAACCCTACAAGACATTGCTGAGCACTTTAGGCAAAAATTCTCACACATCTACACTTTTGTTTTTGTAGTACGGCATAAATGAGTAGTTTGACTATTAGTACTGAGGACTTTCTGATGACAACATTGAGGGGAAAGTACTCAAATTTTACCCATGGCCTGAACGAAAATGAGGACTTTGATAAGCACTTTTGTGATTAGGGATAATGATAATATGAGTACTCATATGATACTCAGCTGTCTTGCAGGGAATCTATTATATTATAAAAAAAAACTCACACTCACTTATTGAACAAGAAAACGACCCCGAAAATACCATGGATAATCGATAATCGAATTATAGTCGATGTATCTACTACTAGTCGATCGACACTCGCTACAGGAGTGTTATTTTCAGCTTAATAGATATGTCTCGACTTGTTACTATTTTCTTTATCTTATTGAATGCTGCCCTTGCTATTTCTATTCTGCCGTTAATTTCGTTGTCATATTCCCATTTGTCACTCAGCCAGCTTCCCAGGTATTTGAAATTGTTTACTTTGTCCACGTTCATATTCAACCTCATTGCGTAAGTCGTAAATTAGGCTAAATTGTACGACTCGACAACATCGAATCTCGAAAAACGACTTGCATTCGACACGACTCTCGCAATGAGGGTGTTTATTTATTGTTAGGTTAGTATTAGTGCAGTGTTGTTCACTTTTATTTATGACCATGTATAATTTTTAAAAGTATTTTCAACGTATGGCTCATTAAACTTATAGGTCGGTAGTGTAGCGTTTGATTTTTTCGGAAGCGCCACGAAAGTAGATTTCACCCAGGATATCGGATATTCTCTAGTTTTATATATACATATAGCTAAATATGTACTTCCTCCAGAACATTCATAATAACTTTGTCACCTTTTTCGTTTTGGACATTTTTATAGCACACGCAATATCTGACTTTGTTGTTTTCAAAAACGTTTCCTCTGTTATGCCATTTATTGTTATATTATATCCCTCGAGTCGTCTTTGAAAAGTTCGTTTACATATGTCTTCCACAATTCCATTTTTCCTACCTCGTCAGTTACTAAATTGTGATCTTTGTATACCAATACATTTATACTATTATGTTTTCTTGTGCCGCAGACTTCCTTAAATTTTTTTGTGCAGATTTAAATTGTGTAGTTTTTCTAATCGTTCTATATCTTCCCTGTTTTTTCATCCATACTTTTCTTGCATCTCGTATTTAGTTTCTAATTTCTTTGTTAAGTCTTTTATATTCATCAGTATTGGTATTTCGTCATTCATCCGTCATCTTTAGTTTAGTATCTCTTCATTCATTCATTTTTGTTTTGCCGTTTTCATCTTTGTGCCTAGTTGTTGGTTCGTTGTCGCTCTTATATTCTCGGTAGCTTTGTTCCATGTATCAATAGGATTTCAACGTCATTTGATGATGCGAATACGTAATTTATTTGTCGTTTAAGCTCCTCTTTTTAACCTACTTCACAAAAAGGAGAAAGGTTATCAATTCGTCGGAATGTTTTTTATTTATTTTTTATTATGTATGTTACCGCATAACTTTGGACCACGTTAACCGATTTCTATAATCTATTTTTTTTAATGAAAGATGTTACCTCACAGGTGGTCCGATATTAAATTGGTTTAAATCCGATCATCGGATCATGAAGAAATTGACGATAATCTTAAATTTTGATATGAGATTTGAAGTCGGTTTTTTTGCTTAAAAATTACTTGTATTTTTGCATTCTCAAGATTTGCTAACTTTAGCTGGTTTCTGGTCAGTTCTCTTTTGCTGGGTCTGATTCTTACTTTCGCCATTAATACATTGTGGTCTGATGGTACGTCTGCACCTGGATATATCTTTGCATTTATTAATTAGGATTTGTAGTTCACTTGATTCCGAGTCACATTATCTGCTTTGCCCTGGGGCGATTTCCACGTATATAGTCTTCTTTCTGGTAATTTATAAAGAGTATTGCTTATAACATAGTCTTCCTCTTGGCAGAATTGTACTAATCGATTTCCACGTTCATTACGTTTACCTGGCCTATTTACAGTTTTCTCTTTGCCCACTTTGGCATTGAAATCACCCATGAGTATGTTAATCTCGTGTTTCTTTGTGGTTCTTAATATCATCTTCACGTCAGAATAAAAATTCTCCATCTCAACGTCAGCACAGTCAGCAGTTGGGGCGTAAATTTGTATGATGTTCAAGTCAATTGGTTTACCGTTTAGTTTTACAAGTATTTTTCTGTCAGAATACGGAATAACTTCTTTTACATTCTCGTAATATTTTCTGTATCATTTCCTGAATAGTATAGTTTTACTTCCTCTTGTATTTGTCCATTCTGAGGCCACCACGCCTCACTTATGCCTAAAATATCTTTGTTCAATTTTTTAAACTCTTACGGTATTTTCTAATTTTCCTGGTTCGTATAAGCTCCGCACATTCCATGTTGCTATGCTTATAGTACTCTTATTTTTATTTGTTCGTTTTTTTGATTCGTGTATGTACGTATTTCTGGTGATGATGTTCTTTCAGTGGTTTTTTAATACGCCAAGGTTTTATTCCCAAGAGATCAAAATTATTTAACACATTCAATGCAAATAATGAGTTTTTACAGTTAATTTTTAGTGGTGGTTTTATAGCTATGATACTGCGGGGGTGCAGTTTTGTAAAAACTTTTGTTAAGAGCTTACCATGAATTTATTTGATGTGTCGCTTTTCAATTTGTAGAAAACAAAAGACTCAAAAATACAGAAAAGTATAGAAAATGTTTGCATTCGTTGAGATACTTCACTATATGAATGTTGAAAGATGCGAATATTTTATTTAAAATAAAGATAATAGCAACCAGCAACTTTTACACAAAACTTCTCTATAATAAATTTGTGAAAAACACTCTCATTCTTATATAAATATAGAAACTACGATTTTTCAACATTATTTTAACCCAACCCTCAATTCTCTTCTTCAGACAATCAAACTCATTATACCGTTAGCTCCAGCTTGTCTCCAGATGGAGGGCGGCCTACGCCCGCTTGTTGTTCGCAGAACTGTAGCTGCTTACTCTGCTGTTCAATACTACCAATAAGACTTCCCTATATACGGTTGTTTTTCAACTTTAGCGACGCCCTTATTTTGTATTTTTGTCACAAAACTATTTGAACATTTCGTTCCTATGCGATAAGTAAATTTAGCTCAAACGCATTTTCATTAACCAGTAGAGTAACAATAATCTTAATCGAAAACAGCAGTTTCACTTCGGGCATGTGGCTGGCAACGTTATCACAACGTTTGTTCACCATTTTGCCGAAAAATCATACTCGCGAAAGATGCTATGCTTTTATCGGATGATTTTTAATTGCATCGTAACGAATCGAAACGTAATTAGTTTGTGAAGTAAATATTTGACTGGCGGAAATTGTTATGGTAAAAATTCCAGCCCTCATTGCTTTGTTTTGAATTTAATTGAACTAATTTATATATATACTTACATGAAAAACTAAATATATACATGTAAGTTTTTTTTAAATAGTCTAGACATTTTAGATAAACATTCCTTAGATGCATCCATTGAGAACTACATATGTTTGTCTGTATTGCTAATAATATTATCTTTTGAGGCGCATCTACATACGTGATTGTCACGCTAAGCTATCGAGAAGTTTACCTGGCGAAAATTCAAATTGCGATATTTTTCTACGAAGCTTTTCAAGAAAAAGGTTAATCGCATAATTACGACACTGTGGGCGATGAAGCATGAAAATGCATGCTGAAATGTATTATATTCAGTGACTGCAGAAATATGCATATTTATGTATCGACTCTAACTTATAAAAACTTGAAAGGCATTGCACATCATAGAAATATAATTTCATAGATATTACTCTATGCATAAACTTATCGGAACCCAAATATAAAAAAAAAAAACATACATGCATACACATAAACATTACAGTTACAATTCGAGATTTTCAACGAAAACAGCTGAAAGTAGAAAGACAGCTACACAATTTGCATTTTATTAACAAGTAATGATTTAGATACACTGCATTTATTTCGTTAATATTGAATAATCTTTGTTTCAGTATTGTATAAAAACAAAAACCGATTGGAAATAAACATAACTATATATAAAAAATATATAAGATCGATGTTTTAGAGGTGGAGAGGAAAGCACAAAGTCGATTGAATAATTTTTCTTATGGCTATTTGAGTTCAAAACATACCGAGCAAAAACAAACATTTTGAATTATTATATATTGAGAGTTTTATAAAAACTCGAAATCGTACAAGTAATCAAACCGCTCCCCGTTGATTGCCATTAATTAATGTACGTATGAGCGTGATTAAAATTGCCCTTGATCTTCTAGCAAAAATCGCAAAAAATCGAGATGTACAAATGTAAGAGCAGCGAACACCAGATCTTACGTTTTCCGCTGGAAACAATAGAACGTTTTTATTGAGCAGATTTCCAGCACGTCCATTATTCAATACAAGTTAACCAGAGCTATCACAGAATCCATCGTAGTTCGTGAAATCTGCGAAAATCCTATCATTGAAATTGAATAGCTACGAACGTAGCGTCTACTTTGAATACACACGTTCGTAGCAATTCGGATTCAGTGATCGCATTTTCGTAGATTCCACGAATAACCGGACTACGATGGATTCTGTGATAGCCCCTAACATTATCACCTGGCTATCAAGGTAAGAAACGTTTGAGCGGCATTAAGAAATTAGTTCTGAACCATAGTTGGATCGATGGGAACCACAATAGCCGATCTACAAAACATTAAAAAATAAGGCAATCGAATTAGCGACGTTTTTTGAATTTGTATTGCAAAATAATCTACTATCTTTGGCTACATTTTACGAGTACATCATGCGAAAACTAAACCGGGATTACTGTGGTGATAAGCAACATATTTCTGGGGACGCATTTCCATATTGCTCCTTTTTCTATAAAATGTATAAGTCTACTTACTCTCCCTCTCATTGCCTTACTTAAACTTTAACTTTTGACAGAGCCAACCAAAATATTTAAAAAATAAAAACTTCCCAACAAGCCAAAACTTTTTTTAAGTTTACTAAAATTAACATAAATAAAGCTTACAAGACGCATATTTTTGGTTTATAAAACGCTTGAAACGGAACCTTGTTTTTAAACGTATGAATATAAATTTATAATAAATATTAAAAAGAAAGTATTTTTTTCTTGGTTTAGTCTTAAATATTTGCACTTAACTTTTAAAGCTAAGTGATCTATAATTCGCTCCCAGCACCTATAAAAGATTAATTTGCAAAAACTTAATAATAAAAACGCTTATTTAACACTTAATGTAGCAAGTTACTATTAAAACTCCTTACAGAAATGCTTCTTCGGTTCTATCTGAACAAAATACTTTCGGTAGAACCATTTCAGTCTTTTGGTTTTATGTAGATATATATAGTCGTGTAAAAAATAATAGGGGCAGCACACTTTGACCAGTTTTTGCTATTTTTCCTTAGTTTGTTTAAGGTTTTTTATTTTGTTTACCCAATAAACATTGGGCTTGGTTAACAATTCGAAAATGATTGGAAAACAAATCCTTTTCCAGTGTCACCTTCGATAACTAATGTGGAATAGGTTAGTATTCGATTCGAGAACTAGGCCATTCTCCAGTAAAACCGAACCGTCGTTATCCAGTGTATTTTCCCTTCGTTAAGAATTCGAAATCCAGCCGGATTATCTAATTGGAATTTTAATGAGAAAGAGTGATTTTCTAATATTTCCTTCCGAGAATGAGCTGGATTTCACTTTCTCTCTTGTTGCTATGGTTTTAATTTTTTTTTTCGAAGCCATCTCTAGTGTATTTCCAATATACTATGAACTACTATGGAAAACTAAGGTTGGTTATGAGTTCGTTTTTAGTTCGATATGCATATCGAAGGCCATTCTCTCTTGTATCCGTTATTAGCCGCTACACACCACAAAGTACCACCAGGACAAAAATCACCGACTCTTACCTACCTTCAGGCAAAAACTATACAAAGACAACATAACGGATGTTAATATCGAGACAGCGAAGATTAACCTATTACCTGGTTCTGAAAGGACACCATGGCATTTCAAATAATTAATCATCGACGAAAATCACATTACCTAAGATAAATAAACATAAATTAAGGACAAAAGCTGGAACCAGACAGAACGAAAAATGACACTGAAGATTGCACAATGCCGAAACCGGTTTGTCTGCAAACCAAACTTAACAAGGGATGACGGAAATTCGTTCAAAAATAAATTATATTTCTTTTGTTTATTTAATATTTAATATTTTTTTTGTATAAATGAGCCAAATATATGCAGTAAAATTATGTTTTTAGTTTCTCTGACGTCAGGACTTTTTAAAATGCCTTTGAAAATTGAATAGTTTTAGTAACTCAGAAAATGGTTTACAAAATTAAGTGCAATGTACTGAGGAAAACGGTATGGGTATCAAATTGAAGAGAAAATTCTGTAGAGAAAGAACAGATTAAATTTTTGGTGCTTAAGGTATTGAAAATGTCCTTAAAAATTTTATCCTTGAATATCCTTGAAATTCTCCAATATTTATTTTGAAAAAATTATATGTTAAGGACTAATATAAACTCGACAACGTCCTCGAATATAGTCCTAACTTTATTAGCTTAAAAAAAAAAATAAAATTGATTAAAAGGTCCTTTTCAATACCTGGTCACCACCTTGCGGTGTGCGCCTATTGTCTCTGCGCTGATTGCAGGCGTTCCCTACTCCGCCCCGACAGTTCTGTCACAAAGTAAGCTGTAGATATGTAAGCCTTATTCGGTTGGTTTCAACCCCAAGATTATGAATAGAATAATACGAAGTACAAGAGCTAAAAAGGAAGTACTGTACTTCCGAAAGAAGAACGGTTGGTCACATTAAGTATAAATTATTAATTAAATTACAGGAGGATAAAGTGCAATTTTCAAGTGACTAAAATTAACGTTGATTTTTTATAATTTTTTGGCTGGCGGTGTCACGCATTTCCTTCCTTACAAAGTATGTTCGACAATTTGTTTATATGGAAGAAAATGCCCAGCTTCGTTTAAAAAAAATCCCAAAAATCAACGGTATTTTGTAACTGCATGAAACTTGCATTTTAAAATTAATTTAATAAGCTATAAAACTGCGTACCGTAAATTTTTTCTAAAAATGCTGAGTAAAAGTTTGAAATTTTGGAATTTTTTTTTGCATTTTTATAATCTTTGTAAAAATTTGGAAATACGCATTTAAATGCAGTTAATAATAAGTAAAATGATTTAGACTTTTATAAAAAAACTTAAGTATTAAATAAAGAAAAGAAATATAGACTAAACTGGTTGACATAAGGCGTTTATTTTGTTGCTGCCAATAGTATTACGAACTTCTTTCAACCGCACAATACATATGTTGACTTAAGTTTGTTTTGCATCGGGCTTTTTTCGACATGTCTTAAGTTACCTTATCAAATATGTGTTGTTAAATACGTATAAATATAACTACTGTCTTTTGTTTTGTTACTAATGAAATATTTTTCAACTTATATTATAAAGTAGGTTTCACACCCATTTATTTATTATATGGTAGGCAGCTTCTCAAACTATATTGATGCAATTTTTTCACGTTAAGTTGTTGGAAAATAATGAATTTAGGATTGTATGAACGTTGTCTCGAAAATCCCGGGATCACAAAAATCGAAAAAATTAACATCCCTAGTATCTACGTTGGTACATAATATTTCAGTCAATATCTTATAAATTAATTTTTCCCAAACTTGCAGAGACGCGTGTTTTTAGCTGCCAGGGTTGTTTGTATAAATACAGTTCTTATCTAATAAAAATCATATAAATAAACGGCAACTGGTGTCTAGTTGCTGGTCTAATAGCCATGGCTACTAGTGTCGTACTTTGTATTTTGTATAGCGATAAATCTGTCTATAGAAAAGTCATCCGAATTTACTTTTTCGACATGTACATTTCGAAGTAATTGGCAAATATGCTCGAACATGTTTGATTGACAATTGATGTAAACAAATAACAAAATCGTCGTAAGGGGGAACATAAAATGGCGCTACAAGGCTCAGTAGTCGATAGTCCGTAGCCAGTTGCCATACGTAAAGCTAATTTTATTATATGGTTGCCCGTCGGCTATCAGTTGCCATATATAATAGGTTGAAGTGGCTGCCAGTGACCCCACTAGCACACATAGCCCCTTGTTAATAGTGTCATAAAACTGTAGAATAATTAAAAAAATTCAAAAAAATTTTACAACAAACAAAGAGAAAAAAATTTAAAATTGTTTATTATTTTTTATAAAAATATAACTTACTATCTAAAAAAACATGTAAATTGAAATTTCAAAATTTGTAGAACATTTATAAAAATTCAACGAATTTATAATAAAGTGCGAGTTGGAAGAAGTTTGGACTTACCGTTGATTTTTGACAAAAAATTTTTTGAACATAATCTGTATGGAAGAAAATGAGCAACACCTTTCACAACAAATATCAACGGTAAGTCTTAGCTACTAATCTCCGGTTAAACATAGTTATCGATGTCACCGACTCCCTGTTGTATGCATGGAGTCGAACACGTCGATAACGATGTTTAACCTGAGATTAGTGTTAACCAGACATTGAGTAACCGGCCCTAAAAATTTGCAGTTTGAATTGAATAGGCTACGAAACCGCATACTCAAAATGTTTCTAGGGATGCCTCGTTTGTACGAAAAATTGTTTTTGGGCTAGAGTACATGGGGAGTCTTAATAAATGAATAAAAAGAAAACATTGTAGATCGGGACTTAATAGGTACAAATATGAAAAATCGGGCCACTTATACGACCCGACTTTTAAAAAATATTCCCCAGGACAATTTTCTAAAAATCGGTACTGTCCCGCCAAAATTGGTACGAATCGGTACAGTCACCGTAGGTATACTTGAAAAAAGTTTAATTTTTTAATTTGTGAGCACACTTACATATGGTTTATGGCCCTATTTTGTATGGGGACTGATAGCCGATGACAAAAATTCCCATTACGTATGGCAACTGGCTACTGACCGTCGGCTACTGAATCTAGTAGCGCTTATGACGAATTTGTTATATGTTTACATACATAATTTGCTAAACATATTGAAGCAAAGTTGTCAATGGCTTCGAAATGTATGTATATGTCAAAAAAAGTACATTCGGATGTTGTCTGCCTTTTTCGGTATACTGAGATTAATCGCTATACATAATACAAAGTACGATACTGGTAGCCAGGGCTACTAGACCAGCAACTACACACCAGTTGCCATACATAATAAGGCCATTATATAGGATTCTATTCGTAATCGCTTAATAAATCGATAAATATAAATGTAATTCATTTTGATCAAGTGCTTCAAAAGTTAGACGAGGAATAAACTTTTATATCGCTGAAATAGAAAACAAAAGAATAAGTTGGGTTCAAAATACGATGTGCAATGATTTGAAAGTTGAACTCACTAAATTGGGACGTTCTAAATTCAATGGCATCCCCCGTTTCAACAGATTTGCTCCGGTTTTCGAGATAACGGTACTTGAAAATGTTAACTATTTTATAAATAACTCCCTCAGTTTTGAAAACTTTGCACATGACTATTTTTTAATATTTCCTTAATTAATTCTGAAAATCATCGAAATAGGTTCACTTTAACAAATAGCTTCCATACAACTGATTATTCAGATATGTGGTTTGGCTTCTAACTTCAGAAAGACAAAGTTAACAATGTTTGTGATGAATAAAAATAGTACTAACTTTCTTACCTGCTCAACTGGAGGAGTTATAACCAGGGACGTGAACCGGTTTTGAACCGGAAAACCGCTTTTTTCTATTAATTAAGTGAACCATTAACCGAACCGAAATTTTCCACAAATGTTTGATCCGAACCGAAACCCGAACCACTTTCTGTAAAGGTTTAAAGGTTCGTTTCAGCCAATTTTCAATAGATAAATGTACCCACTTTTTCTTCATTTTGTTAAACATGGTAATACCTACTATGTTTTTTACCATGGGACAATATCAAATGTAAAGGCAGCCCATCTCACTTGACCCTTAACCTTGCGCGTTGTTGCACTTGACACTTGACACTTAAATTTGCGCCTTATTTTTTTGTTTTTCAAACCGTTGAACCGAACCGAAACCCCGGTTCAAAGACCAAAAAAACCGCTTTGAAGAACCAATCCAAAAGTGCAACAACGGTTCGAAACGCTGAACCGAACCGACCAAATTTGTCATCCGGTTCACGTCCCTGGTTATAACGTAAAACAACGTCTCTTAACAACCAAGTGTATGGGAGCTACATGTTATAGTGAACCGATTTCGATTTTATGGAAAAGTTAAGGTAACACTAAAAACAGATAAATAGATAAATAATTTCAAAACTGAGGAAGTTATTTATAAAATAGTTAAAAGTTTCAAGTACCGCTATCTCTAAAAAAAATGGAGCCAATCTGGCAAAACTAGGAACGCCATTGGATCCAGAAGCCTTCAAATAAGTAGGAGCAACTATCAGAACCTTTGCCTAAAAAAAGTTGATTTGATACCTCGCTCAAAATATTCTCACTACAAGAAGGATCCTCATTAAGGACCAAATTCACAGTGCGTAGTTAACTCAGAATCGGCAGTTAACTACAGATTTTTATACATTTACCTCATTTTATACATTTACCACAGATTTTTATACATTTACCTCATTAAGGGCCAAATTCACAGTGCGTAGTTAACTTAGAAAATTTTGTTTTTTGCTTAAAAATTACTTGTTAATATTTTTTAAGTAAGGCCCAAATTCACAGTGCGTCGTTAACTCAGAATCGGTAGATATCTACAGATTTTCAGTTACCTACGCACTGTGAATTTGGCCCTAAACCAACTATAACTCAAAAGTTATGCAACAAATTGATTCAACATTTGTTTGAGACTTGAAGTATATGTCTTTCAATTATATCCAAAAGCAACTAGCTAGATATAACTGTAGTTAATTATCGAGATGATTCCGAGAACATATTAGAATTCGAGTCGTTTTCTAAAGGTTCTCTAACCTAAACGTTTGTTGGGTAGAATTTAATGAGCTATAAAAGGGCATGCATTTAATTTTTCTAAAAATTCTTAACAAAACGTTTGCTGTAAAATTTTGTTGAATTTTTCAAATTTTAAACCGATTTCAAAAAAGGAGGAGGTTACCAATTCGTCGAAATATTTTTTTATGTATGGTACCACTTAACTTTGGACAACGTTAACCGATTTCTATAGTTCTATTTTTTTTTAGGGAAAGGTGGTACCTCAGGAATGGTCCCATACTAATTTGGTTTAGATCCGATTATTGGTTCATGAAGAAACTAACGGCACTCTTAAATTTTTATATGAGAATTGAAGTCGGTTATGTCTTTTGCTTCAAAATTACTTGATCTACGAAGTTTTAAATTTGGAATTATATGGTTTTTGTTACATAATGAGCCGTATTTTTATAAAAAGTTATGATAAATACACTTCGAGATGTGTACTTTCAAGAAGTTGTTGATGTTTTTGTTGAAAATAATAAAAAGCATCAAAACCATAAGCAGACAAAAGAAAATATATTCGCTTTAGAATTCTTTTGAATATAACGCTACAACAGAGTTGTGAAAAATTAATTAATTTTTTAATGCATTAATGGTACTTAAAGCACTAATGTTAATGTAAAAAATTAATGCATTAATTTTTGAAATTTAATGCAAATAAAAATTTCAATGCATTAATTCTGAAAAATATAATGCTAATGAAAATTATTTTCATTAAATTATCCAAACTAATGCTAATGATAAAATTTTAATGCATAAAAAGATTTAATGATTTTGTTCGTTTGCATTAATAAAACCCATCAAATTTATTTTCCAATGAAATATAACTAACCTCTGGAAGGACTTCGAATAGTTACTAATAGTGTTTTTCAGCTTCATTCTATTATGTTTACTTGAAGAAAAATTCTTGTAAAATTTTTAGATGTTTTATGAAAATAAAACCAATATGCGTGCAACTCAGTGTGCTTTTGCAGGTTTTTATGTTGATTTGTGGTGCATACCGATTATATTATGGGCCAAAAACGGACAGAAAGCCAATTTAGCAGCACACGTCCACGACTGAAGACCTATTCTGATCAAAATAGTTCAATAAACCGTTTTAGTTCCACTCGACAATGTGTTTTTACCTATTTGACTACAAATGCCATCGAATTTGACATAGTGCAAACCAACTTTAACTTCTTTTTTGACCTCAAAATTCTACCCTCAACGTCAACAAAGAATTTTACTTTAAAATAAAATTAGTTAATGGGTTTTTAATGCTTGTTATACTTCTAATGCAATAAATTATTGCAATAGTATTCATTTAAAAACTTTAATATTAATGCAAAAAAAAATCATTACCATTATTTCTTCGGGATAAATGCATTCAAATTTTCATTTACATTAAATTTCAAAAATTAATGCATTAATTTCTTACATTAACATTAAAATGCTATGCATTAAAAAATTAATGCATTTTTCAGAACTCTGCGCTACAATAGATGGGGAAGGGATATGGGCGCGTGATTAAGACAATCATCGATTAATAAAACAATGTTCTCTAAATTGGTTAAAATAATTTTGTATTACTGGAAATTTAAAAATAGTCATATTAACCGGTAATACGTATGTATTAGAGCTCTAGATACCCGGGTATCGAGCAATGCGAGTAGCTCGATACTCGCTCGAAACTCGTTCATTGCTCAACTGCTCAAATGTTTGTTCAAAATTTTCGAGTTTTTGAACAATTTCATAAACAAAAGAAAATTTGTAAATTGTATTTGTCAGCAGCTGCTTTCTAATTCATGTTAAATAAATTGTATTAATAAAAACCAATGTAACAATCTTTGCATTATATATCAATAATTTGAAATATTTAAAAAGTTGCTTCCAAAAATGTCAATATAATAAAAAAAACATTGCTCAAATTACTCGAAAAAACTCGAATTGCTCGAGCTCATGCTCGAAAATTTTCGAGTAATGAGCATTGAACAAGTGTGCGAGTACTCGCTGCTCATATACCCGGGCTGTTTGAAAATGTGCGAACAAAATCGAGAGCTCTAGTATGTATGTTTAACACAAAGCTTTTTCATAATTTAATTTTTTTCGAAACTACATATTGTCACCTTAATTCTCAAAGATTTTGGTAGCATTAATTTCTAAGTTCTGAACTATTAAAAGGTTTGATAAAAAGTCAAATGTATACGTAAATAAATATACAATACAGTCACATTAATAAAGATATCTTAGATTACTTGTTTCGAATGTGTAACATCAATTGTGCCAGCGACTGGGCATGTTGTGTATTGGTGTTCATTACTTGCTTGTAAGTGTATTCAAGGCTCTTCAACGTGCATGGCTAAAAAGGATTTATTTAGTGATAACGAGCGAATTGACTTGTTAAATAAAGACGAATATCGAACACTCGCAGAACGCATGTATGTACATACTTATGGTCCTCTGCAATAACGGCACAATTCAAAATTTAAAAAGACAAAACCCTTACCACTGTTAGGTGCCTCGCGTCCCTAATCCTTGTCTAATCGAGGTCACATCCTTGCTTATATAAGGAGCAAGCAGGTAGTATAGATTAGACAAAAATTGAGGATAATGGACATTTAACAGTAATAAAGGTTTGCCGTTAATGCATAGAAACATCGATATGTAAATGTGTGCTGTGTTCGAAATTCAATATTTTTTTTATATATGTAAATTTACAATTAATTTAGCATCAATATGATCCTCCGCCTTGACAGCAAGCAGCCAAAGGTTCAAAGCTAATTGGAATATTTTGTCACGGCTTAAATCTGCATATCGTATAATGCGTAAGAATAGCTCCAATGCTAGAGTGGCCTGCGCACGTTGTTGTTTTTCTGTACCAAGTACCTTTAACTGAACCAAAATTTGATCCACGACTTGGACGCACATATTATTGACTTCAGCAACGAATTTCGGATCATGGCCATACAGTTCATCGTTGGAAACAACTGCAATTATTAAGTAATTCACCTAATGAAACAATATGGTGTTAGAGTTATATATGTATTATCTAACCGCCGGGTATATGGTAAGGAAATTCCTCTAAACTTTGTACATACAGCATGTCCAAAACATGCAAATACACAGTAATGGGTCCAGAGCTATGACTATCGAAGGGGAATTTCTTTACGACATCTAGTAATAGACGCAACAAATACAACACGCCTTCCTCAGGACTATCCTGTTGGAGAAAACGAAAATCGTACATACCAAGTGCTTGGCTATAGGAATCAGTCAACTCAATTTTCTTTATGTACCGGCACTACTACCAATGTAGCCAACATGTTGCAGAGGTATGAAACCAGATACGTTTCTAGGCTGCGCGTTTTACCTTCAACCTCTACTGATCGCGGCAAATCGTTGACTAATTGAAGTGAGGCTTCAAAGCACGCATCAGCTGAAAAAAAAAACATAGCAGGTGTGAATTGATCTATAATATTTCAAGGGATAACTACATACCCTGCCCCAAACAGTGGTTTAATAATGCCACCTGACCGCTCAGCAAGTATAAATCCATTTGAGTTTGAATCGCTGCAATGCTAGGAATAGTGATGAAGCAAAAAGCGGCGCATGCCTTAGCAAAGGCCCCCGTTTTACGTGTGTGCTTCCCGTTAACTAAGTGATATGTCTCAATGGCTAACTTATTGACTGCATTAACCAATGTTATATATACAGTATCCAAATTAGTGAAAGCATCGCGTGATTCCACATAAAAGCTTAGGTGACGTTCAAAGTCTCGAGGAAAAGCCACCTTGCGTATAAAACTACTAATTAACTGAGAAATCTGACGGCGTTCATCTTCCACGGTTAAAGAGCTAAAGAGCAAACGTATATGCATACATATTTATAGCTTTTATTTTATCTCGACTTACGTCACAGAGTCATTAAGAATTTTTCCAATGTACATCAGTGCATTTATTACAATTTCATCAGAAATCTTCTCCTCGCTCTTCAGATTAAACATGGTGAGTATGTTTTTGCAAACAATTATCTTCACTGTATCCTTTTGGAAAAGATCAACGTATGGTAAAAAATTTTCTTGGATGAGAAGTGACTCCGTATTTTTAAAGTATTGGAGTGTTTTGTCTAAAACATTTTGTAGCTGTGTATAATATTTCTCATATGCTCTGCTGGCGTTAATCCTTAATGTAATTGTTCCTAGCAAATCGTTTATTACAGATACCTGTTGGAATACATAATATATATAAATTTTTTAAACACTTGTCTTTTCCATTTCACTTACTGGAAAATTTTCTGTAATGAATTGAGCCCAAGCTTCCACACAATTCATATATTCTGCTGGATCAGTAAAAGTGTCAATGGTGTTAAAAGCAGCGTTTAAAAACGGTAATCGCTGCTCTGGCAGTGGTGGGCAGCCACTCACATTAGTTCCAAGTGCCCGAAACAACTGCCCTTTTGAAATGCCTTCAGTGTTGGAATCACCAAGTAATTTGACGAATTCTAAAGCATTAGCCGCGATGAATTCAGGCTTGAAAGAATTCAATATCGATACCAAAAACGGCGCACTGAAAATAAAAGTCCCGGTGAAATAGACATGAAGGAATTCGTATAACAAGCTCACTTATTTTTTATTCCTTTGCACTCATTCAATATTTCCTCGGTGTAGAGATTGCATTTGTGAACAAGCGCTGATAATATAAAATCCAATGCCGGACCATACAGAGCCAAGTAAGTCTCAATGCTAACATGCTGACGATTTAGCTCCGAACGAATAGCGCCGCTAAAAATCTAAGCAAAAAAGAGCATGCGTACGTATTTATGTATACACAATATTTGTCTTGTAAGTTTTTAAGTGCTCACTACCGTATGATAGATTTTTAAAAAATCCTTAAAATTTTCTCGTATGCATTCTTTATTCGTTGATACGCTCAAACTGACGCGAACCAAATAGCAGCGCGCATACGTTTGCACTAAAGGATCGCCAATCCCGCGGATCATTTTCGTGATACGGAGGAGATATTTATCAAATTCGCTGCATATGACGAAAGAAAGTTGTATGTTGATAAGATGTTATGTACGTATGTATATGGATACACTTTGCAAGAATTTAACTAGGCTTCTTACTTTGGAGTTATAAATTCGTAGCATTTGATTATAGCCATTTCTACAAATAAACGGGGCAGGAGTTCTCGTATAGATGCAATTTTAAAAAACCAGTTCTGACAAGTTTCTCGTGCACTTTCGTGCAATGATTCAGTTCTCCCCAACTTGCCAGAGCTACGGTAGAGTATTATTAAAATGGTGATTTAAAAAAATACAGTTTTTACATACCATCCATCGCCAACGTTGTATGCCTTTATATTCAGCCGTTCATATACCAATTTACCAAACATGTCAAGTATATCAGTGATAAGTACAAATTGGCTGGGATAAAAGCTAAGAACTGAAGTGTCTAGTAGCATTTTTGAGCACTGTATGACAATTTTTAATGCTTTAACACGTTGATCATCATTCCAAGATTGCACCAACTCCTGGTTCAGCTGTTCAATACGCTGTATGTATTCCTGTTGTGTTAGGTCAATCATGTGGCGCATGGAACCATCATCAAAGTCATCTAGTTGTTCAAGGCGGAATTTAACCTTATCTGCCACCACAGTTTGAGATCTGACTAAAAATAAGTTGCTTTAAAATATGTCCCAAACTCTGGATATGTCTTTTAATAGAATTGTATTAGTCTTAGCTTACTTCCTTCCGCTCCTGGACTTCCTGTGGAAAGGAAACTGGTTGTTATTGAGAGCTTCTCCGATGTTGTGAAACGATTTAATATGCCAAGCCGTTTAGTGGCCCAACTTAAATCATCGTCGTCTATGACATTTTTATCCCGTCTCTTTAACTTCTTTTGAAAGGTGTGCTGTTCAAAATACCAAAATAAAACAAATGTACATATAGAGAAAATTTTCTCCGAGCTACTAACGAATTCTGTAGACATCTGTGCTAGGGGATCTTTGAGTTCTTGCTCTTGTCGTGCGAACTGAGACAAAGGATCTGTTCCGTCTAGGGTCGACCCGAGTGGCTCAGTGATCAGTGAAATGCTGGAAGAAGCTCTCGAGCTTGCATTGCTACTGAAACTACTGCGATTATCCTTTGAAGTTTGTTTCGTTCCCTTGCTTTCCACTACGGTTACTGTTTGTATCTTCAATGGATGTTCGTAGGTTAGATAGCTCTGCAAGTAATTCTTGGTCACATTGTAAGTGTGCGGAATGCAATCCCAGTCGCTTGCCATTTCTAGGATCGAAATTTCTGTGGTAAACCAAACCTGAATCTGGGCGTTTCTGATGGCTACGTATTATGCGCAAACAGACTGTGACAAACTAAAAATTAAACATATGATTAGTGTTGCCACAGATATTCGAATAATTCTCTGCAATAGCCTTAAGAGCTTAATACACCACAAAAGCGGCTTGCGGAACAAGAACCGGTGCGAGAAATTTTGAACAAAGACGTCGATAAAGGTTTTTGTAGAAAGTATAACGGTATAATTTTGTTTGATGGGATAACGAAAGCTACAGGAGTTACATACAAAACTTTTTTAATCGGTAATGTAGTTCGTAAGATATTAATGTAATTAGTATAAAACAAGTAAAGAAGTATAAGTTTGGGTGAAACCGAACTTTATATACCCGGCGCAGGTATCAAATATCGTCGTTTCAACTTACTCTGAACTACCTTTGCATGATAAGTAGGGGTGTTTACAGCCCTATTCGGGTGCAATGTCAAAACTCGCCGCTATAACTCATGATCCATGATGCAATAATACAAAGTGTTATCAGTTGGCAACTTCTCGCTCTAAATCCGCCATATTCCCGGGGATTCAGTAATTAAATCTCATCTCAAGTCATTAAATTTGAGATTAGCAATTAGTGACTATTTTTGTGACTTGAGACGATTGGGATATTCAGAAGGAGAGAGTCACAAGAATTTCACCAAAAATGTGTGGTGAAAGCAAACACAGACAATCAACTGATAGTGTTTATGTATGCCTATTGCCCGCGCCGCTGAAAGAGTCGCAATGGCCGAGTGGTCAAAGCATTTGGCTGGCAGTCGAAAGGGTCCGGGTTCAAGTCCTCCTCGGCCGTAGAGGGGTTTTTATTTTTTTTTTATTTAGTATTTTTTTATTTTTTTATTAGTTTTATTTTTTTTTAAATCTTTAGATTTTAATGTTTTAAAAACAAATAAATTAAATTTTTTTCAATACATTTGTATGATATTAAAGCATTTTGGTTTATTTCCTAATGAAATTCTTATTGAACAAATTTCCTCGCTTCATTTTCGCGTTTTATTTTAATAAAATGGAAACAAATAAGCTTTTCCTCCATACTTCTATTTTTGTGACCTGCTCTTAGCCAGCTGACAAATTAGTGACTTATTTTTGAGACTAGAGACGTGAGCCAGCGTACTGAATTTCAAATAGTCTCAAAATCCAAGTTCACCACCAAAAATCACTATTAGTGACTACAGACCGCTAACTGAATTCCAGGGATTGACTGCCTTACATGAAACAGTGCCATTATTGTTCTTACAGGAGTACGCCCCGGTCTTTAAACCTTCCGTGAGTCGCCTAACTCTCTGGTAAAATTTTCGGGCATTCTTCCTGTCGGCCAGCATTTCAAGCTCTTCGCACTCACGTATTTCGGCCTCGCTCTTCTTATTGCGGCAAATACGTCTCGCTTCCCCCTTCAGATCCCTATAGCGGTCCCACATAGCGCGCGTTGCGTCCGATCGCAGCGTGGCCCTGTAGGCGGCATCTTTTCTCTCAGCAGCTTCCTGACAATCCTCATCGTACCAGTTGTTCTTTCGGGCTCGCTGAAATCCGACTACTTCTTCGGCGGCGGTACTTAATGAGCGGGAAATGTGGTTCCACTGCTCGCATATGTCGGTTTGTTGAAGAGTGCTCTCTGAGAGCAGGTGTGAGAGTCGAGTAGCGAAAGCGCTCGCTGTCTGTTGTGATTGCATCGTGAAAGTTTGGGTATCGGAATTTGTAACCGGTTGAAAGGTATTGTAGTTTCTGATGGTATCATAGGTATTCGAGGTAACAGGACATTTTCTCCTTTAAACTTTCCAGTCAATATCATTGTATGCTTCCGGTAATTCTTTTGAAGACTAATAGTGTAGTGCTGCCCACACTCACCGACGTAAACGTTCGTTAACGTATCAGCTGACATGATCAAACTTATGAGAGCGTCATGTAAATGAAAACTCACCAACGTGTACGTACGACGGTTACGCGTGACGTATACAGCTTCTCTCTCTTTCTATCAACATTAAATTTTATATGTTGCTACGTAAAACAGACCGGCATACGTACACCTCGGTGCGTGTGGGCACATTTAAAGCGCAGTTAGTCAACGACGTATCGTAAATTTACTGTTGAGAGAGAGAGAGAGAAGCAACGGCAACGTCACCACCATGCGGTGGTGAGTTTTCGTTAACACGCGAATTTCATAAGGTAGATCGTGTCTGCGTCAACCTACGTCTACGTTACGTCGTTGACTGTTTGAGCTTTAAGTCCACAGTCGTTCCCGTACGCCACGTTCACGTAAGGTTTGTTAAAGGCGAAAACAGCTGTTCCTGTAAAACCTGCAAATCCTGATGTACGGGAACAGGTTAATTGTGTATTTGGATGCAGTTCGATTTTACCGTTACCAATATACATACAGTAATTGATTTGGAAATACTCGTGCCAATGGCTCATTATGCAATTGTATTCGCATGATTATGGTCAATCGAATTGTTTCAACGTTTTTCCATTAAAATAATTGTTTCAAACATGCGTAATCTCAAAATTCCATGCTTTTGCGATGTGCCATGCCCCCTTTTACATACTCATTTATATATGTACTAGCTTCTACCCGCGGGTTTCACCGCACGTCTTTATACAAATACGAAAAATAATTTATGTAAAAATGTTATATTTTATTTCTTCTCTAATATGGCTATTGCCGTGATAGCAGAATACACATGTAACAATTGAGTTTTGCCGAGCCCTACAAAGGAATTTATATTGCATAAAGTTTATTATGAACTTATTGAAGAGTTAAAATACAAATATGTTAGTTACCTTAATTGCATGCAAATTTTTAAATGCGACTTCGTCCTTACACCAAAATCGTAATTTTTTCCGTTATTTTTAACCGACTTCAAGAAAAAGGAGGAGGTTATCTATTCGTCGGAATATTTTTTTGGGTACATATGTAATCTTAATTAATAATTTAATCTTAAAGTTTTACATGAGAATTGCAAGTCGGATTTATTTTTTGCTAAAAAATTACTTGTTGATTTAAATAATAGTCTTCGGGTGTCTTCTGCAAATCGATAAAATGTTTTAGTAATGATTTCATTTTTGTTTTTTCTACAAAACATTTGTTAATGCTAAACATACCTAAACCCTAATTATAATAATATTTTACCTTTTTTAAAAGTAAATGACTGTTTATCAGACTAACAAAAGTAAGCTGAAAAGGTCGTTCACCAAAACTACCGAAACGGATGTGAAGACACCCAAACTCCTACTCCAAAAAACTCCTGCTCCGTGTTGGGTTTTGCCGGGATAAGCTGTGGCTATTTGGCGAAGAACCAACACTTCTTTTTTTCTTATATTTTCGTTTTTGTAAGCGTTTGTGCTAGTTAATTTTATTATCGCCCGGTAATGCACCTACCTGCGCGACGTAGGAGGCTGGTAACTTTACACAAACATAGCCAATTTTATTCCATACGACCCACAATGGACTCCGTTATTTAGTCCGTTTTTCCTATCGTCCTCCGTTTTAACGACCGAGAGCAATCATAACACATGAGGTAGGCGTGAGGTCAGCAAAGATGTGAATTTTCACAAATACCCAACGTAGGGAACATCCACACCCAAGCCTTAAAGTACCAACCTCGTTTGTGAGGCTGCCCAAACTTGACAGGAGAGTAAAATCTGTCTTATTTCATAAGGTGCTCTCTTTTATCCCTATTTATCTCTTACCTTTTAATAGCCGTCATCGATTCGCCATCAGTTAGCGAGTGGCGAAACGATCGAACTCAATGAGGTACAACCAAACTCGCTATCGTCTATCCGTGCTAGCTAACTTTGTTGTTGCTTTCACATGCAAAATTCTTCTTTAATATAGCGAGCGAGAAGTGGCGAATCGCTGATGGCTAGTATCTAATATCGCTATTTTGTATGAATGGATAAGGCTTGGTGCCAGGAGCTTCCGGTGAGTTGGTGTTCCATTCGCACAGATGCTGTCAGGATCGAAAACATTTTAACATACAGTATACATATACATACATATGTATTGTACATACCTTATTCCAATACTTATGTACGCAAATTTGTGGTACTGCGTCCGCTGCAAGGGAAAGTGAAACTGCAAGTTGAATTGCTGTCACTACTGCTGTTGTTCGTATTTGCTGGTTTTACTTGTTTTTGCAATAATTTTCGTTTTCGCGCTAAGCAAATAAGCATTTTGTGGTCATAACACCCAGTTAACAAAGCATCCTGCTTGTCGACCGTTACTTGATTAATCGTTGACGACCAAACTCGTGGAAGCCACTTGTTCCGAGTTAATTAGGGCAAAAACATAATTCTGTGATGGCGTTACTTTCATTTATTTTCTAATATGTATGTTTGTTTGTTGGTTAGCTAAAGAGATGCTATCACAAGAACTGGCTGTTAATTAGGAAGAACTTACATCTGGTATAAAAATGCCGTTTCTTCAGTGTTTTTTTTTTGAGTTCATATTGAGATTGAAACAAACGACCACGTGTTGATTTTTTTTTTTTTTAAATTTTCGTATTGTTTTTCGAGCTAAATCCTTTTTGTTATTTCTCTCTAAAAATACCGTCCAAGCTTTACCCAAAATCATATGAATCACAGTTTCAAACTTTATAAAAAATTGATAGCCCATATAATTTTCAAGATTCAAATGGTTAAAAAATCCCGTTGGTTTTTGAGAATTTGTTTTGGTGACGGATTTTTGCACTTTTTCCCATATATATATAAGCATGAATTTCTTATTAAATACGAGTATGATGGCGGAGACCATTAGCAACAGAATTTCAAAAAATAAACGCCAGTTTTTGTAAAATGCACTTGTTATATAAAAAACCCGCAAAAGCAGTCTCCGAAAAAAAATCTCAAAAATCAACACACGATTTTCAGCCGGTTAAAACTTCCACTTCATTAGACTGAAATTGTATGAGTTATAAAACTGCGTACCCAAAAATGTTTTAAAGATTCAGATTAAAAAGTTGAAATTTTGATGAAAGTTTGTTGAATTTTCCAAAATTTTTTATAAAGTTTGAAACTGTGATTTGTATGTTTTTGGTTA